AATGAGGAGCTTGGGCCCTCCTGGGCAAGGTCAGCATCAAGTAAAATTGCATCAGCTAATAGCAGTCTTGTGTAAGTTACTTCACCCCTCTGAGCCTCAGGGCCCTCATCCATTAAGCTGGGGATAATAATACTACCTACCTCCCTAGGGCACTGTGAGGATTAAATAAGATCGCATAAGAGAAATGCACTTTAGAGCTGGGAAACACTATACAAAAATTGTGTCCTTATTTTTTCTGTCTTCAAATTCTTTTTGTTTTCTTCTTTTGCCTCCTTTTTCTCCTCCTTGCATCCCCCTTCCTCCCACTGCCCTCTCTGTAGTGCCCTCCTTTACCGCATAAGGACTTAACATATCTACAAAAGAATTCTTGATTTTCATGGCCCCTGTGAACTGCTTCTTCCCCCATTCCTTCCCATCATGATGAACAGAATCAGCACATACCTTGTTTCTCAGGCTAAAATCCAAGAAGTCATCTTTGATTCCTCCCTTCCCCACAACACCCACATTCAATCCGTCAACATGTCTTATAGGTGATTCCTTCCAAATATATCCTGAATTGGACCATTTAGCTACCTCCTCTGCTACCACCATCATTCTGGCTACCATCAGCTCTGGCCCAGATGACCACAGAGGTCTCCTAACTGGTCTTGCTTCTTTCACTTTTGCTCTCTAATGCCCCTTCTCTGCATAGCAGAGTCATATTTCTGAAACATAAGTCAAATCATATCACTGCCTTGCTCTAAACACTCCATCGGCTTCTAAATTGTTCACCATGGCCTACAACGGTCCATGTGATCTAGTTCTTGCTTCCATTTTCCTCCATGACCTCCGAGGATTATGCTGCAGCTGCAGGGGCCCCTTTCTGTTCCTAATACATACTAAGCTTATTTTTGTCTCAGGGCCTTTGCGTGTCTGATCCCTTCTTGTCTGAGTTCAGATGTTACCTCCTCAAGGAGACCTTCTTTGAGACATCTATATGAATGAATTCTGTCTTAACCAACTCTCGAGTACATCACTGTTGTGCGTGTGTGTGTGTGTGTGTGTGCGCGTGCGTGCGTGTGTGTGCGTGCACGTATGTTACTTATTTCTGAAATTGTCCTATTTTTTATTTACTCATGTACTATTGGTCCATGTGTCAGTGTTGTCCACTATTCTTCTCCAGTCACAAGAATAGTACTTGGCTCATTCTAAGAGCCCATTCAATTTTTTTTGAATGAATAAATGAATGTCCTTACTACAATATCGCTTCTTCTTTTCTTTCCCTACCCTCACTCCATCAAAATGCCCTCTCCTTCAGAGTGCAGATCTCATTTGGAAGGTGATAGGGAGGCCTCCACAAATATTTGCTGAATGAATGAAGCCAAAATGAATTACACCAACAAAGAATGCCAGCCTCATACAGCATAGCTATTCCCCAGGGTATTAACATTCTCAAACAGGAAGCTTGAATTTCAGGCATTGTTGACAAAGGGAAGAAGTTCAGGCCATTTGCTGAATGAATGAAGCTAAAATGAATTACACCAACAAAGAATGCCAGCCTCATACAGCATAGCTATTCCCCAGGGTATCAACATTCTCAAACAGGAAGCTTGAATTTCAGGCATTGTTGACAAAGGGAAGAAGTTCAGGCCAGCCAAGTTTAAGTGGTATTTTTGGACAGAATTGCTGTTCCATGGCTTCTTAAATCCACAAATACTAATTAAGACCCTTTAGGACTCCTTTGAAACCGAGGTTAACATTAAAATGTGAAACAGCGATGAAAAAGCACTGTTTGTTTCTAAGGAAAGAATTGTGGACTGGGAATCACAGAGCTGGATCTCAATCCTAGATGTGCCACTAATTAACTCCTTGGACAGGTTACTTAGGATAACCAACATTTACTAAGCATCTAGTCTGTGTGGCCCTGAGCTAGGCACTTTATTCGCATGTATAATTTTTGCAACTCTTCAAGGTAGGTATTTTTAGTGTCTCTACTGTATAATCAGGGAGACAGGTTTAGAGAGGCTAAGTATCATGCATGAAGACACTCCCCTAATAAACAGTGGAGCCTGGACTCAGGCACAAATTAGGGCCTTGCTGCACGCCTATTCCTTCCACTGTACCCGAAGGCACCCTTTCGTGAGTCTGTAAACTAGGAGCAACGGAAGAAACTCTTGAGCTCTGAGGAACCGCTCTTTAAGATCTTTTTTATATGATTTCTTCACTATATTATTTCTAGATATGGGAATAATAGAAAACAAGTGTGGCACAGAGAACTCATTTTGGAGTGTAGCTTAATGGTTAGAATGCAGGCTTGGGAATTAGGCTTCCCAAGTTCACATCTTGCCTTTACCATTTACCTTAAGGATACATTTAACATCTCTGTGCCTCAATTTCCTCATCTATAACATGACTACAGTAAGAGCACCTCCATCCTAAGTGAAAATGAAATCATGCCTATAAAGTATGCAGCGCAGTGCTCCATATACAGTGGATACATTTAACATCTCTGTGCCTCAATTTCCTCATCTATAACATGACTACAGTAAGAGCACCTGCATCCTAAGTGAAAATGAAATCATGCCTATAAAGTATGCAGCGCAGTGCTCCATATACAGTGAGCACTCCATTAATGTTAAATGTTTATTAACATAATAGAGATTATTATGAACATTATAAGAGAAAGTATGTCAGAGGAGGCTGAAAGGGAAGCCCACAGACAAGAGGTAGATGCTTTTCAGTGCTCGGGGGGCCAGATTTCTTCTGATGGCCAATCTTGAGAGGTGGCTGCAGGTTCAGAGGCTCCAAGGGCCATTGTATCAACCAAAGAGATGCCCAGAGACCTTTGCCAAGGAGAACTCCCATCAGCAATAGGGGCAGGAGGAGAGAGAAGCTGAAAGGCAGGAAGCCCTGAACCTGCAGGAAACATTATCCGGAGAAACAAAGTTATGCTTGAAAAAGCCCAGCCCAGTGTAAGGGCTGGAGATTGGAAGCTTGGAAGCAGGAAAGGGAGCCCCAAGGAGAGTTCAAAGTAACTCACCACTCCAGTTATTTCTGACATCTTTACTGTTTTTTCTCTGATAACCAAAGTAACACATTGGTACTTTACAGAACTTTATGTAATGTAAATAGCAAAAAAGTCTTCTGTCCAAGTTAAAACAAAAGGTTTTTTTCAGTGGCTAGCCAGTAGGGGGATCCGAACCCTTGACCCTGGTGTTACAAGGCCACACTCTAACCAACTGAGCTAACCAGACAACCAAAAAAATGTCTTTTTATTGAAGTATAATGCATACAGAAAAACGCAGAAGTCGTACTCAATGAGTTTTCTCAAAGTGAATACACCTATGTAGCTAACATCCAGATCATAAAACAACTTTATCAGAATACCTGAAGTCCCCCCTCTGCCCTCTTCCAGTTATTACTGATCCCAATGGGAATCTATTTCTTGATTTCTTTCACCATAGATTAGTTTTGCCTGTTTTTAAATTTTAAGTAAATGAAACCACATAGAATGTACTCTTTTGCGTCTGGCTTCTTTCACTCAGCAATATGTTATATGATTCATCCATGTTGCTATTTAGTGCTTCATTGTATAGATATATCACAATTTGTTTATTCATTTCATCATCAATACTAATGGGCATTTAGGTAGTTTCCAGCTAATTTTTGTAAATAATGCTAAGATCACTCTTGTACAAGTCTTTCTGTGAACATATGTACTCATTTCTCTTGTGTATACTCCTAGGAGTGGAATTGCTGGGTTATAGGGTATGCGTATGTTTGGCTTTGGTAGTTACTGCTGCCCGAAATTTTAAAAGGATATTCAAAGTACATACATGATCTCTGTGTGGTCTTCTGGAAAAACTTCAGAATGTCACAACTCTCTGAGAGAAGAGGATGAGGAGGGGGCAGTCCAGGGGTACTTTTCCAATGGCCTCCCAGTGATCTATTTGCCTCCAACTACCCAAGACACCATGCTACATGATGTGCCCCGAATTCAATTTTCTTCCTGTCATCCCCATTCACCCTCCCCAACAGAGGCCACTCTCTAAACCCAACCACACTTTCAGGGCAGCATTGGATGGCATGTCTGTCCACTTGCTGGCCTTAGACTGGATTTTAATTGTTTCCTATATTCATTGTTCCATGTAACAAATATTGAGTGCCTTCAGCTCAATTGTATTGTTTCAGACTCTTGGATTGGAGCAATGTACATACCCCTATCCTCATGGAGCTAATATTCTAGTAGGAGTAGATGGACAATAAACAAATAAGAATATGTTAGTGATGATAAGGGCTATGGATAAATATCAAGCAATGCGAAGAGAATGAGAATGGGGTGGGGGAGGGATGTGTTATTGTATAATAGGGTAGTAGGCAAGGCCTGCAGAGCAGACAGGATATGAAAGACATGATCACTCTGGCTATTATTTTGGAAATATGCTATATGGAAGCCAGGTGGAACTAGGGAGGAAGTCATCCCAAGAGTCCAGGCACAGGATGATGAATTGGATTGGGTGAAGGTAGCTGCAGTGATAAGTGGTTGCATACAGCATATACAGCATATATTCTAAAGGAAGGGCTGACAAGATGTGCTGATAGATTGGCTGTGGAGCATGAGAGGGGAATCAAAGATGCTTTGTTCTTGCCAGGAGCAATGTTGATTGAATGAGTGGACATCTTTCCTGGGTACAGCCAGCCAAACTTCTTATGTGAAAGGTCTATTCTTTCTTGTCCCGGGGGGTAGTATGACGTTAGTATTAAGACAAAATAATTGGAGTCAGACTACCAGTCCCAGCTCTGTGACTTACTGTGTATCCTCAGGCAAGTTACATAATCTCTCTGAGCCTCAGTTTCCTCTTCTGGAAAAATGGGACAGTAATAGTACTTCTATCACAAAGTTGCTGGCGATACTGAGGTAGTATACATAAATAGGCCTGGTATAGATCCTAACACCAAGTCAGTACTTAAAAAATACCTATGTTAAACCAGTTCCCAGTTAAAATAAGCAGACAGAAGGGTGTGGAGTAAGGATTATCTTTATTTGGATTGCGAAGTATAAATATGAACCAGGTTTGGAAATACAGGTTGTAACAGTTCAGAAATGGCACCAGAAACTTCCAGAAGGGACCATGACAGCATACCTTTGTAGTTTTGGTGAGGTGGATGGGGTTACACAAAAGCCTTCCCTACCTCCAACCTTCTCTGTAGCAGTTGGTAGGTAATCAATTACCAATTATCAGTCAGCTCCAATGTTCCCTTTTCCACCTCGACCTTCTTCTTTGCTAAGACCTTCTCCAGACTGTCCTCTGCTGCACTGACCCCTGCATGGAGTAGCACCAGAAGAATGGCAGGAGTAAGAGAAATGTCTTGACACAAGGGAGGGTGAGTTCCCACTCTGTGGGCCTGGGGCCATGGGGTGAGGGAAAGCTGCAGGCATGGAAGCCCAACCTCTTCTGAGATTTGGCAGGGAGAGGACACAGGGAAACACCGATATCTGTTACACTTTGACATCAGCACCTTGGGCTTTCAAAACACAAACAGTAGACAAAATCGCCTAGACAAGACTGCAGTCCAACTCATAGAGTGGCTCTGACCAAGTTAACCCTACATCCTAACCATACAGAACTCCCCATGTGGCACTTTGATCATGGAAGGTCTTCAAAAATGTGGACAGACAATAAATTACTACAGATGGGTGATAGAGCCATCTCAGATTTGCAGCAGGGGAGGATGACACTGAGCCAGATAGTAGGGATGTGGGGTGGAGGGCCAGGAAATTGCAAAAGTAACAGTCTAGGCACTTGAAATATTATTGTTAGATTGTTAAAAACTAAATAAATTAACATACATAGAATAAAATAAATATATAATTTAAGAGGCATTTTACAAACAAACAAACAAAAAATAGTTGTTATTTTTCCATCTGGGTAGAAGTCCCAAAATTCAGAGTTCTCGGGCTTGTGGTATTTCACAGTTAGCTCATCAAATCCAGCTCTGGAGGGTCCAAATGGCAGATCCCTCAGTGGCTACTTGAGTACATGGCTTCTCAATCTTTGTTGCTTTCTTTAAGTTTACAAATCTTTCCTTCTTGCTCTTCTTCCTTCTTTTTATTTTTTTTCAGTCAAAGATCCTGGAGCATATGGAATTTAACTGGCATTTTAATCCAGAAGAGAAGCATTTAAACAAACTTAGGGAAGGGACTGGGGCTTAGTAGAGGAGAATCAGAAGGGCATGAAGGTTCCTCGTTTTTGCTTTCTTCTGACCCAGATCCCACTGGACATATTCTGTTTGGCACTTGAAGGCTCTGGTATTTTGGCAAAGCAATTATGGGAGGCCCAATCAAGATAGCAACTGGGGATGAAGGAGTCTTTGTGGCTAGTTGTGAAGTCCTTGCCCTCTGCAGAGTCTGCAACCAACCTGTGTCTTCTCAGAGGTAGCAGCAGTCCCCAGCCGATTCCTAAAGCACAAGAGAAAAGCATTTAAAGCCTAGTCCAGTCTAAAGAGGTCTTAAGAGTCTCCTGGGTCCAGTCTTAAGAAGTGGATTGATCATTTGGGAAGGGGAGGGAAGAAAAGGGGATGGGTGAAGCTGTCCCATCAGGCATCTTTCTTGGGTATCTCTCTAGCAATTTTCATCCTAAGTGGAGATGAAGCACCAACAGTCTTTTCAAAAATAATTCTGCAATGGGACCCTGACTCCACATTAGCCTGCCCCCTAACTCCTAGGTCAAGAGAAGAATTAAGCACTCATTGAAACAGATCCTGGAAAGGTAATGATGATGCCAAGGGGCAAAGGATGGACCATTACCTTGAGCACAGGTCTCTCTCAGTGGGTATTAGTCACGCCCAACTTCACTTTCTCTTCATTTTCCACCAACTCCTAGGTCAAGAGAAGAATTAAGCACTCATTGAAACAGATCCTGGAAAGGTAATGATGATGCCAAGGGGCAAAGGATGGACCATTACCTTCAGCACAGGTCTCTCTCAGTGGGTATTAGTCACGCCCAACTTCACTTTCTCTTCATTTTCCACATCGTAACCTCCTCTCCTATGATATCTGAGGAAGATAAGTTTTGTGAGCAAGTCCTGTCTGCTATGACAAAGTGCAGATCCTTCTGAAGAATTCTGCCACAGTAGTTCCCTCTACTACTTGGAAAAGCCTAGAGGGTATGGCAACCCAACCGCCCTGAAGGATGCCTGTCTCTGACAGCAGGCTACAATTTACAATGAGTTTTCACCTCATTTATTTGATCCTCGCAACATCCTTATGAGGTAGATAGACAAAAATTACAATCTTTGAAAGATAACAGTCCTAAGACAGACAGGTGACTTGTCCTAGGTCTCATGACAGATGAGTTGCACTGCTTGAAAACAGACATAGAGTACTTGGTAGATCTCCCCCAACCTAGAACATACCTGGCATGGAAGCATGGTCTGAGGTCCAGATGCCTCAGAATTGGAAGGATATTCCAATAGCACCACCCATGCCTTGACTACCAAACCACACACAAATGCTACCAAAGAACAGATCCAGGAGAAAGAAATGTGTGAAGAGGTGGCCCACAGAAGTAGGAAAAGAACTCCTGTGAGGAACAGAACTTACTATGGCCTGGCAAGTTTTACCCTGTCCTCTAGACACTGGACTCATATCATGACAGAGAAACCAGGTGTTTGGAGAATCTGCACCCAGGAACTAGCCCAGGATTTGTGAGGGGATGGGGAGTGTCATGTGATGATCAGGTAGAAGACCCAGGAAAAGGAGGAAAGGAAGTGTTTGCAGACACAGCACGCAGGGGCCCCCAACACTCACCTAAACATGAGAAGCCCTGCGATGACAAGCAAACAGACAGATGACAGCACCACAGCCACCACGGCCAAGATGGTTGTGTGGTCATATGTATACAAGCGATTTTCCACTGGGAGACTCAGCCCATGGCACCTTTCTCCGTGGTAACCCGGGTGGCAGCTAGATCAAGACAGAACAAGAAAGAGATAAGGTTAGTTTTTTGGCCTTTCTCTCTTGGCAGTGGCCTATCTACATAAGCCAAACCCCATTCTTCACACCATCAGCCTATCAACCCCTGACCGTGATCCCTGCCCTTCCTCTACTCTTCTCCTTTAGTAGGAGATTCTTTAAAAGCCCCTCTGAATGTTCTGTCACATTCCTCCCTCACTTGGTGCCCTCCCCTCTTCCATTCCTTCTGGTTCTCTGGCCTAAGAGTCCTGCTCCAGTCAGGGAAAAAGCGAGGGAGAACTTGAAGGTCTCAGCTAGGTATGTTCCACATGTGGCTGACTACACGTGCGTTAAGGCATTCTGTTTAAATGACTTAAGAGGAATTGGACACAAGAGCTGGTGGGTTGAGTAGCGGGGATTCAGTATCACTCCCTCTATTGAGGCCCCTCAACATTCTGACTCAGAAATAAACCCAGCTGTGCCCATCAATGCGTCCAGCGTCCAGTCCCTTGCCACCACTGCCCAGCCTATTAATAGGCCCTGTTCCTTTGCCAGGAATCGTTTTCTCAAGTTTCCTTCATTTAACTCCCAGCTCCTCCTGGGTGCAGGGCCCAACTTGGGAGCTTAACTTCAGCCTTTGGCCTCTGAACACTGGGTTATCAGGCCTCTTTCATCACAAGACAAAGTAAACAAGCCAAGACAACATCTTCCTGCCCAGCTGGAAGAATGTCAGAAACAATCCCTTGGCTCTTCGCACTGAAGAAATAAATCACATGGCAACCGCCACTTCTAACACAAAGCATTTCCTGAAGCTCTCAGGAAGACTTGGAAGGGCTTACAGTTGAAGACGCAAATTCACATCCCTTCATTTATCTGAGCACCTTTGATGTAGGCAGGAGACCAATTTTACAGAAAGGTGGAGTTGTTTTCCCAAGGTCACACAGCAGGACAGAAATGTGGATGTGGATTGTTGAACTCTGAGTTCAGGTGCTGTCCACTCCCATCCCCCGACTGCCCACCTCTCAGCCAGGGGATGCAATGGCATTGCCTGCCTGGGGACTTTAGGCCACTAGCTGCTGAAGGAAGCCCTGAGAAGTTGGTGGTCCTCTATTCTGAGCTGCACCTTCTCTGGGAAGGAGGTTGGGTACCTGATGCCTCAGAGCAAGGAATCCCTTTTTCCTCCTGAGAGGGCAGCAGGCAAGCTGCAAGGAGACATGTCCAGACCTGGCAGTGCCAGAGGGGCCAGGCTGGGTGGCTCTACATCCCTGCCCCTACGTTCTTGCTCTGTGCCTCCCCTTTCTCAGCTCTTCCTGAGCAACCACCTCACTGCAGGATAAATGTAGGTCAGGCCCATTGTACACATAGCATAGTACAGTTCCTTTCCAGCTGCTCCATGCAACTGTCCCCCCAGCCCAGGTGGGGAAAAACTGACCCCCATCCTACCAGGACATGGAGGAAGCTCCCAGGAGTACCCCTGGGAAATCACTGTGTACAGAAGTTTGTAGTTAACAAGCTACTCCCCTTATTAATTAGTTCAACTTAGCCTCATAACACTCTGGTAGGCAGTTACAGCCTCATTTTACAGATTGACAGGTTAAGATTAAGAATCAGAAAGGTTAAGTGATTTACCAAAAGTTCCACAATTAGGAAGTTGCAGAGCCAAGACTAAAAACCAGTCTTGGCAGATTCTAAATTCATGATACTTTCTACTGTGAACAGTGCTGGTAACCCTGAGGAAACACCTATCTAATAGGTTCCTGGGGCTGTCTGACCATACTTTCTGGATGTATTATTATTATTATTATTTATTATTCATAGTTTGAATAATAAATAATAATAAATAGCAAACATTAAAGGCTTACTACGAGCCAAGTACTCTGTGCTAACTGCTTTATAAGGGTCATCTCATTTACCTTCTTTTGGTGGCTGGCTGGTATAGTATAACACCACACTCTAATCATTTAGTCTTAAAGCCATCACTGTGAAGTAGGAGGTACTACCCCCATTTTAAAGATGAAGAGACTGAGGCTGAAATTCTGTTAAACAACCTACCCAAGATTACAAAGCTAGTGAGTGGTAGAGCCAGGATTCAACCCAGCAGTCTGGATGACTTCAGAGACTATGCTGTCCTGGGGGAAGGGAGGCTGTAGTTGAGTCTGTTTTTCTTGTCCAGACCATCATTCAAACTCCACAGGTAGTTACTCAGATGATAGAAATAAAGCTTGGCCTCAGAGTCCTGCAACTCAGTTACATAATTCCTCCACCCCCACCCTGAGTCAAAAGGATAATAATGTAAACATCCTAATATTAACTGCCCCTCTTTGCAGATGACTCCTGGCTTCCCCAGGGAAGGGGGTGGAAAGATGAGTACATTCCAAGCATCCCAGAGTGGGTGCAAGATTGTGTGTCTTGCCCAGAGCCAGCCGTCCACCAAACTAAGACATACTTCCTAGCCATGTCTGTGACCCACTTCTGAACCTTGTATAACAACAGAAGCAAGAACTCTCTAGGGTCCAGAGACATCTTCCAAACTGATTTCTCTGCCCCTACCCCCAGGAGGTGGAGCGGGCACCATTTGATGGAGGAGATGCAGAGTACATGAGTTCTAGACTGGTCCTGCTGCTATTTCTAGGCCAGTGATCTGGGACAAGTCACATTACCTTTCCAAGCTTTGGTTTCCTTGTGTAAAACACAGGGATAATACATGCCTATCTCACTAGAGTAGTGCAAAAAGATCAAATGAGATAATATAGATGAAAGTGCTTAATAAAAGGCCAAGACCCACATGTGTATAAGTTATTACATAAGCAGACTCCAGAAGGTACTGCCCATATCCTGAGGAATGGGGCGTCAAAGTCACATGGAGCCATTCCTTCTGGGCATTTGGGCAGTGAGGCCAAATGGAGCCCCAAGCCTGTCTCTCTTCTAGCTCTAAGTCCTCCTCAGCCCAACTGTCCCCAGGTTTCCTCCAGCCCCAGGAAACTTTGCAGTCAGAAACCCTAGGAAACTACTCTTTGAGGGCAACTTTTGGCTGGTGACACAAAAGGGTTTTCCTGTTCTTGGTGGCTGCAGAGGACAGGTTTAGGAAGCTGGCTAGCCTCGAGCTCACCCCAGTGGCCTGGACACACCCTGGCTAGCAGTTCCTGGGTCTGGAAGCAATGAGGAGCAGGCAAGCAGATGTACGTAAGCAGATGTCACATTCCCCCAAACCAGGAGCTCTAGGTCTTCTGCTGCATTCTGCCCTAAATACCAAGGGCTGGAGGCAGGAGGCAGCCAGACTAGAAGCAGAATCCACCCCCTGAAAATCTGCTTAGTAAGCTGACATAAAGTCTTCAAATCAGATTGCTATGCTTTTAGGCTAGTAAAAGCCTAAGAGACCTCTAGGACAACAGCTTCCCTTTATAAAATCCTGCTCAAACTCTATAAGGACAGAGATAGAGAAATATTATGAGAGCCAACACCAAGTACAGCCTGGGGACATGAAGAGCATGCCGAACCAGGAGGCAGGCACCTGAGACCCTACCCTGTTTCTATCCACTTATTTAGCTATTGATCTCAGGCAAATTACTTCCTACTTCTGGTCTCCAGTTCCCTTGTCTTTCAAGTAGTGATAGCAAGCTCTGCCTACCCAAGAGAGGGCTTTTGAAAATCCCAGATGACTATATCTCCCCACCTCCTACAATAGTGTGTAGCACCAAATAGGTGATCAACATACCTGTTGGGCTCAACTCATATTAAATGTAAACCCTGAAGCTCTAGGACAAATGAGAAAAGGCATCATTATGGTTATCATCACTATCCCTAATGCCACCAAAAAGGTGGCCCTGGGCATACTTATCAAGTTCTCTGAGATTAGGTGGTCAGTTGAGCCCAGCTCTCCATGAGAGCAACCTTCCAAGGCTTCTCAGCCAAGGAGTGGAAGCCCCATCATCCATCCACCAAAACGTCCTGGACCAATTTGGCCCAGACAGATTCTTGGCCTCAGTCTGTCTTGACTACCCTCACAGTTACTTTCTCCATTCTGTGCTAATGATGCCATTTAATAAATTCAAGACAAACATTTCCTGCCCTGTCACAAGACCTCAGGAAGGATAATATGGGGATTCTCTATGTCACTCTTAAACAATCCCCTCTAATGCCAAGCTCCTGACAAAAATGTTATAGGAAAGGACACACAAGGATGTTATAGGAAAGGATACACAAGTGACTGTGGACATGATGGGGAATGATAGGTCTGTCTGCCAACTGTCAAATACAAGGCACCTCTGCTGTGTGTGATCAGACAGGACAAGGAAGCTTTAAAAAGCCAAGGGATCTGTACTAATCATGGGTAGAAGAGACACCAGGCAGCCAGACTTCTTGATGGGTTGGGAGGCAGTGTGCACATAAGAGTCTTCTGGCCTTACCCAGGGTTTCCTGTGTCACAGGCCCCCACAGCCTGCCTCCCCACAGGGAAGAGAGTGGATGTTTGCAGCCTGACGTGGGGTATTGGCTTCAGGCACAGTGGTGACATTATGCCTGCCAGAGAGCATGGCAGTGCTGTCATCCCTGAGGAGTTGCCAAGGCAGCCGTTTGCTGGGTTTAGCTTAGGAACCCATGGCCCCTCCGCCTACACCCCTGCCTAGGGAGGGGGTGATGCTGCCTAACTGGTGGCTGATGCCTGCAGGGTCAGGCTCCATTTCCTGTTAATCCTGCACAAAGGAAGTGTTCTCCACCCCTATGGCCAAAGGCCAGTACCCTCCATGTCCCCCACCTCCTGGACCTTGCTGGGGTAAGGAATAAGGGAAAGGGAACTTCAACCCACCCCCATGATGATCCCTCTCTATACAGTCCTGCCATGTATTAGAATCAACCCACATTTGCTCTCTCATGTGCACTCATACCCAAGTACACACACATCTGCACAGTGTGTGTCCACATACACCTCATACCTGCCTGTAGGAGCCCTACCCCACCCTGGAAACCCACTCTGCCATGCTTCCTACTGGTGTCTCCCATCCAGAGTGGGACATGAGCATGAGGCAGCAATAAAGGACCTGACTTCAGATGCCAGCTCTCCTAACCACAATCTCATTTTTGGGTGAGCAGGAAATGTCTCCAAGGATTAAAGAGCGTCACAATCCCGTGCCACAGGACACTGCATCCTATTTGGGGTTGGGGGTTAGGGGCCCTTCCGCTGACTAAAAATGTTTCCCCTCCTCCCAACTTCCTCCTAGTGGTTGAGAAGAAACTGGGTGAAATTATGAACTCAAGGAACAGTGACACAAGGAATAGCTACATGGCTGACAAAAAGTGTAGTGACAAGATTCAGCCCTAGGGAAGGGGCACTTACATGCAGGATGGAGCCCGGAGCTCCTTCACATATTTGCATTCTCCATGGATGCAGAAGTCCTTGTATTTCCGAAGACATGGGTCTCTCTTCTTCCCTAAGCCCCTGCCTTTCTTCTTTCTTTTCCCATGTTCCTCCTTGCTCGGTGTGGCCAGAGCTTGTGGCTTGGAGGAGAAAGCAACTGCAGGAGAAAGGCACTCTGTTAGGTATTTGACTATTTGTTGGGGGAGGGAGGTCAGAACAGCATAGCGGTTGGGAGGAGTATGTACCCTTTGATCCCACCAGAAGTCAGAGGCCTCGGAAGGCCCCTGGGCTCAGTGAAGGGCTGAAGGAGGATTAAGCAGAACCACCAGAAAGAGGGAACCTCAGGAGGAAGTAGAGGCTAGGGTGGGTCCTAAGGAAGTCATTTCACAAACTCAGTTTAAGAACCTTATTCCCAGAATACTAGCTTCTGTCGAGTAACTCCAGCTCACTGGGCAATTCCACAAACCTCACCTCCACCCCATTGTCCACCTTCCATCCCCATCTCCTACTTCCCTATGCCCACTTTGTTCTATTTTGGCCTTAAGTCAGCCTCATTTCCTGATGCTGCACTCAGTGACCCACTTGCAGGAAGACAGTGTCACAGACAAAAATTGCTTCTGGAAAAGGTACTGGAGGTTTTGGGGTACAGGCCTCCAAAAATTAAAACAGTGTCCATGTCCTCAGGTGGCCCCCTCTGGGGTACCCATTAGTACCAGGGTATCAGGAGCCCAGGGCTGAGCCTGACTCAGGAACAGTAAGCAAGACATCTCTGGTCAGGGCCTTGCTTTCTCAACTTCAAGCAACATAGTTACTCTGCTCTATGCCCTTTACAGCTCACCCACTTTCTCAAAGATCCATTTACCTTTATTCCCAAATATCCTTTTTATAGCTCTCTGGGATGGGAGCACAGTATGTACAAGGGGTAGAGAGATGCAAAGTAAGGAACTTCCAGAAGGAAGTGGAACAATGATGACTTCCCCCTTCCTTCCAGGCTTCAGAGAGACTGGGAAAAAACAACTTTACTTAGACATGCAGCTTGGACTGACCATGGGCTACACCTATCAACCCAGGGGTCTGATGCCAATCCCATCCCACTCTCTAATTCCCCTGGGTCACCAGAAGGAAAAAGGTACCCACTGTCCATGGCTACAGCCACATGTCTTGCAGAAGTGTGAGCGTGATATATTAGACTGGGGACCTGGAATCTGCAAGCTGGAAGCAACTTCAAAGAACATCACAACCTTCCATTTTCAGATGAAAAACTTGAGGTCCCACAAGGCAGAGTGACTTGCCTAAGGTCATGCAGGATTGGTATTAGAAATGTGGTCTGTGGACTCCACATCCAATGTTCTTTCCCACTACACCAAGCTCCCTCACACACCCCATCTCATCCCTTCCAAAAGTCTGGAGCACCTGAGATGTTGAGCCAAGAATGAATGGGCTCTGAAGTTAGCAGACTTGTGCTCAGATTTCAGCCATATTAGCTTGGACAAGTTGCCGAACCTCTCTGAACCTTTGGGTTTTCCATCAAATGTGTTTAGAAAGAGTTACTATCTCAGAAGATTGCTAAATTAACCAGGATAATATGTCAGGTGCTTAGAACACAATAGACATTTAATAAATGGTAGCAGTTATTTGTTTTAGGTGATAGGATCCCCAGACCTGAAAAATAGTCCTCACCCAGGAATGCCAAGAGAAGGGAAGAGAAGCAGATGACAGCAGCCCCATAGTCCCTAGTCTCCTCTGATCTAATCCCAGGGCCCTTCAGAGCTCAGAAAGTGAGGCGGGTGGTCAGAGGAACCCAGTGACCAGGGCTGTGGGAAAGCAAGGCAGGAGAGCCAAGCCAATCAGAAACAGGAGGGAGAGAGTGGTGGGATGACAGCTAGGCTCCTGCTGGGGAGGGGGAGCAATGAGTCAGGTCTGCAGAGATATGAGGAGCAGCCAAGTGGGTGGGGGGTGAGTCACAGCCCAGCCCAGCCCTGCCCAGCCCAGGAGAGTTCAGGCTGTTCAAGACACGCATGACCCCAGAGGGCCACTGTGAGAGGATGGAGTGTGGGAGCCCAGGCTCAGCTTGGGAGCAGACTTTTGATTTATACAAAGCACAGAGAGCACCCAAAGGAAACTCTGGGTAAGGAGGGAGAAGGGCAGCTGAGGAGCAGGTGGGGCTAGAACAGGTGGGTATTTTTTCCAACCAAATATAGTCATTCTGGGGCCACAGGGCTTAGTCCCTGCTCCACCCTAGAGAATCGTTGCAGGTGGCTGGGGGTAGGGAAGCGGACAGGCTCTGGACTCTGCCCTATGCCTGTACTCAGCCACAGCCACATACGCTGGTTGGAGGATTCAACATGGCCTTTCCCCCTTGGAGACTCCTCAGGGGAGTCAAGGTGATCAGGAAATCTCCAGGCTTTGGGTAGCATTCATAGACACCCAGCATTTCAATTCAGCCCCCTAGGGTCCCAGTGCTCACCCAGGGAGGCCAAGAGTTCCTCATTCCCCTCTGTTTTCCCAACCTGGAGACAGGTGGATGGAGGAGACTAACACTGCACACTTTCTATGTGCCTGGGCATGTCCACATCTGTTATCTCTATCTTATATATAACACTCACTTGATGTGGGAATTAGGACTAGTGCCCGTTTTTACATAGGAACTCTAGGGAAAGCATCTCAACCACTCCTTGTTCCTATCACCCAGCTTATCTCAAAGGAATATACCAACCCCTGATAAATTGCCTATTTCAATTTGCCCCAAAGTACCCAGAAAGACACCAACCAGGCAGGTGAGGCCCAAGGAAAAGAAACACGGCGGGGCTATATTCCAGGATCTCTCAGTTCCCCTGTCAGGCCGATCAGCCTTTTCTTGAGGTCCTCCATTAATACCTCCAACCCACAGGGGAACCCAAACAGCGTGAATCTCAGATCCGCGTATTCTTCAACTGCCCACCCGGGTCCGAGGATGGGCGGTCCCCACACCCACCTCTGAAAAGATCCAGATCTGCCTCTTCCAAGTCCAGGACTTTCCGGCCCCGGCTGCCTCCCTGGGGTAGCAGCTGGTCGGTAGATCCAGTGGGAGGGTCCGGGTTGCTGGTTCCAGCCGCCAGCCCTCTCCGAAGCCGCTCCAGGCTCTCGCCAGTCACCAACGCCGAGAGCACTACGGGAGAGGGGCGAGGCCACATCAGACATCCCCACCCAGACCCCCGACCACGAGCACTGATGCCGATGCCTGCCCACCAGGGCGCATGGGCCCCACCAAGTGGCGCGCGCCGGAGGCGCTGCAGCGACCTTCTCCCGTACCCCCAGCACACAGCGCCCCCAGCACACAGCGCCCCCATCCCCCAGACGATCGCGGGTGTCAGCAGCCCTTTTACCTGCAGCCAGAAAGAGCTTCAGCACCACCGACGGCAGCAGCTTCATGGTCCCGGACGGGGTGGAGGCGACAAGGCAGCAATCACTTTGGAGGCGGCGGCCACGCGGCGCTGGCACCAGAGCGGGGCTGCGGGGCTGCGGTGCGGAGGAGATTCCTCGGGGCACCGTCTACTGCCCGCCTTTGGGCGCAAGCCTGGCTGGGACCTGCACGCAGCTCGCGGTCGCTGTGCGTCTGTCTGCTCGCTCCTCCGGTCAGTGAGTCCGCCCGAGCCCCTGCGTCTCGGTCAGGCAGTCCAGCCTCGTGCTGAGCGCAGCTCCCAAGGCAGACGGGAGGGCTCCCGGCGCGCGGCCGGGAATAAGCTCCCAGAGGCGCCGAAGCTCCGCCCCGCCCGGCGCCGCCCCTCCCCCCTCCCTCCCCCTCCCGTGCTGGGAAGCGCGCCCGGCTCGCGGCGCCGGCAGTGCAGCCCGCGACCCCTCGCGGCGGGGGAAGGAGGCTGGAGGAGGGGGCGGCGCTTACAGTTTTTGGGACCAGGCCAGGGCAGCCGCGGCCTGACTGTGGGTGGGGCTACTGACTAGCAGGTGGCGGTTCCTACCTTTCCCCAAAAGCCTGTCGCGCTGCAGCCTTGTGACTGCTGAGCTGAGCTGTGCTCAGGGTCTGGTGGTCCCTTGGGCCGTCCCTGCTCCATACCAGGTGTCTCCACCCGTGTCACTTTCTGAGTTTCAGAAACCCACTTTTTTGCCTACCAACACAGCAAGTAGTAAATAATAATAAATTCGTTTATCATTTAAAAATTAGATGCGTGAATGCCAGCAGATCTCGTGAGCCCGAGATAACCAGAGTTGAAGTTGCAGGCACTTGGTATCAATCCAGCAGAAGCGAAGGAAGTTAGTGTTCTCCCAGATGCTGAAGTGGCTCCCCCTCCCACCCTCCCTATTCCCCTGGGGGACATAGTCTACATTAGGATTTTTGAACTATGAATTATAATTCCCAGGCTTTGGGGATTGTAGAGACACAGGAGTGAAACAAGCCTCATACCTTCCTTGCCTGTGAACACCACCTTCTTCCCGACACAAAGAATGAGCCCCCTTCCCACAGGACCCAGCTGGCTAACCTAGATTGCTATGTTCAACAGGTGCCAGGAGATGGTTGTTGTTTCTCTTCTAACCCATGTATTTTTACAGGGGTCTTCTGGAGTCAATGTCCTGACCCAAAGAAATGACTCTCTCAGTAGGTATTTCAGCTCTCAGGGACGTGCTGGGGAGGGATTTTCAGAGCCCTCAAATTGTGCCAGATAGAGCACTTGCCTGGTTCAGCCCTTGTGTAGGGATAAAAACAGGCCTACTATTTATATACTGTCTGTCCCACTGTCCCTCCCCACCCCCACCTGTGCAGGGGTCAATCTGGTTCTGCCCTCTTAACTTGCCCCAGCAATCTTCCCCAGGCCTAGGTTTCCATAGTGCACTGGAATCACTACAGACCTAAGTTTGAATCCTGCCTTTGCTACATACTGTGTGACCTTGGAAAAGATACTTAATCTTGCTGACCCTTTTTCTACATCTCTCAAATAGGAATGACAATAGTAATAATAATAATAATACCTACTCTGGAGAGAGCTTGTTGAGGACTGAACCAGAGAATAAAGCAGTTAGTACAGTGCCAGTCATATTATAATATGACTCTCATGAAATGTGACCAATTATTATTATTGTTATTATTATCACTAAGCATTCTACCTTAACCACTGTATTTCTTTAGAGGCCTCTTTTCTCTCCCTTCCCCAGACCCCTTGCCTGCCTCTAGGCCAGGTCTGAGGCTCCACGTTGTAGCTGAGCTGGTTTCAGATGCAAGCTCACCTGCCACCTAGTTGGCCAAGAGCCACTATGGGTGATTGGTATTGGGCCTAGGATCTCAGGGGATGGCCACTGCCCAGGCCACACCTTTGTGTCTCTTTCAGTTGCTGCCTGACCATCTGCTTCCCCAAAACAAAGTCACCTTGGGGTCAGGGCTCTCCTCAGGGGAGGGTGGAGGGAAATACTTCCTGACACATGGCCAAATCACCCCCCATTTCCCCCACCCGCTGCCAGATTCACACCCTGCTTTCCTGTCTCAGCCTGCCTCTCCCTTGCGTGCTCTGTCCTTCCGCCTTCTCACCCCCCACATCAGCCTCAGCCCTGTTCATGGGGCAACTCCAAGCTTTCATCACACCTGGGAGCCTCACCCCAGCTAGGTTTGTGTGTCAGCCAGGTTTTATGGGAAGGGCCTGGAAAAAGAAGACAAAAGGCTTGAAATGGATTTGGGATAGTCACTTCCTCTCTCAGAACCCTGGGTGTCCTCTAATTAAAAAAAAGGAATCACAGTTCATGCCGGGGCAACATCATTAACTCATTTATTCTACAGACTTTCACTGAACACTTTTTAGGCACTGGGGGGGGGGCACATCAATAAACGAGACAGCCAAGGACCTGCTTTCATGGAGCTGACATTCTATTGTGAGGGAGACAGGCAACGCATTAAGTAAATAAACAAGGAAAAATATGTATTATAGTGATAAGTGCTAAGATGAAAATTAAAATACAATGATGACATTTTAGATTTGATGACTGATTAGCTGAGGCCTGAAAGAGAAGAAAGAACCAGACTTATGATCTCCATCGCAAAAGCGTTCCAAGCTGTGCAAATAGTGCAAAGACTCTGAGGTAGAAATAAGCTCGGAGCACTCAAGGAAAAGAAAGAAGTCCAGAAAAGGAGGGATATGAGATGACAGCAGAACATTAAAAGGCCAGATATAGATAACAGAAGACATTGTAACCCTAAGTAGACACTGTTTTATTCCCCATCTTCGTGAGAATCAAATGAGATGTCAATGGGAAAGCACAGTTATACAGGATGCGTCCATATCCTCCCCTCCTGCCCAGGTCTCCTCCACCTGCTCTCTGGCTGTCAAAATGCCAGGGACATAATTCTAAAGAAGCAGAGTTCAAATGGGCAAGTCTACTTCCTTTACTGTCTACTGACCATGAGCAAACTGAGGCTTGGAGACTGGCTGGCCTTAAGCCACCAGTGGGTCAGAAGGAGGCATATTCAGAGCACACTCTGGCATCCTGCTTCCCAGCTTATGTGGGGTTACCAGGCCTCTGGAAAGGCAGGCTCCATGGGACCCTGTGTGCCACTGACTCACTTCTAGGCCACATGGTCCTTGCTTTGGGGAGAGCACTAGTAAGCCAGTGGGGAGGGCCTGGGAGAAAGGGGTGCTGGTGGTGACAAGAAAGGGACTTGGAGAGGATCCAGAGTTCCTTCCCTGCTGTGGCTGAGACATCTATCCTAGTAGATTGGTTTTCCCAAACCTAGCTGTGAATCAGAATTACCTAGGAATTTACTTAAGATAAAATGCCCAGGCTGTACCCCAGTCCTCCTAAATAAAAATCTCCTGGGGTGGGGCCTGATTATGTGTGTTTTAGGCAGGTAATTCTTTTTTTTTTTTTTGTCTTTTTTCGTGTCTGGCAACGAATCGCAACCCTCAGTGTCGCGCCCGTACTGGACCGGGACTGGCAACGGGATCGCAACCCTCGGCGCTGCTCCCGCACCTCGGTCAGCCAGTGAGCGGGAACCGGTCTGTATGTGGGATCCGAACCCTCGGCGGGAGCCCCGCCACACTCCCAAGCGGCGCACTGTAGCAGTGCGCCACAGGGCCGGCCCTGGGCAGGTAATTCTTACATCAGCCAGGTCCAGAAGTACTAGCCTACATAATTAATCAGGATAACATGTCAAACATACAAACAAAATCTGAACCTCTTAGGCAGAGGCAGAGGACCTGTAAGTAATGAAAGCTCTTATGTGCCCAGCAGTTCACCTGCATTATCTTGTTTAATCTTCACAACATTCCTAGGACTGGACATTGTTATTATCGTCATCCCCATTTTAAAAGACTGAAGCTAAAATAGCTAAGTATCAGCCCAAGGTCACCCAGCTAGTAGTATGTCAGCCTCAACTTGAATCCCTCACTTTTACCTGGGCTTGTGCTCTTAAGTGCAAAACTACCCTGAGCAAATGGATGAGACAATAGCCACCCTCTTTACTTCTGTGGATGGTAACATCATCAGCTTTACTGAGATTCAGTCCTTCATCTATCCTGGGGGGTGATGGTAAGAATGTCTGCCTCACTAGGCTGGAGGGAGGATTAGGTGAGGTTAGCAGGCAGCTAGTGAAATGGGTACACTCTTGGGAGTCAGACAGTTGGGGGTTCAAATTTTGGTTCTGCTATTTTTTTAGCTTTCTAACTTGGAACATGCTGTTTAATTTCTCTTACCTACAGTTTGCTCATCTGAAAAATGGAATAACAATAGTAGTTATTTTAAGTCTCTTGTGATGATTAAATCAGGTCATGTGTATAAAGCAGAATAATGTGAGGCACATAGTAGGTGCTCACTCAATGACAGCTGTTATTATGAACAAATGTTTTCCTCTTTTCTTCCTTTCAAGTTGGAACTTGAGTAAAATGCTGCTTTATCATAGGCCAGCTGACTTCAGAGATGAAGTGGTCCCTGCTGGGAGATGGCCAGGCATTATTGAGGTGGTAGATCTGCAAGGCCACCCAGAGTTTTGGAAACCTCAGCCCAAGAAAGCAACCCTGGATCAGAACTGAAAGAGAAGCCTGTGGTCCCGGGGGAGAGGATTCAGCTGCCTTCTCCTTCCTCTCTGACCAGGGGAAGTGAGTCCTAAGCAGCCCCAGAGCTCTGCTGGGTTGGGGAGAAATTTGAAGGAGGGAGCCTCCACTGAGGGTACTTCTAGCATCAGAATCAAGAGTCACCCAAACTTGGAAGGTCAGGATGAGGAGTCATTGCTCCTTACCCCAAGCTAGCTTCTCTCACCCCATTCAAGCCAGTTGATCAGGCAGTTTGGGGGCTGAGGCTGGAATAGAACTAGGGCCTGTCATTTGACGTCCCTTACACCTCATGCTGGCCGGGGGCACCTGGAGGTGGTGTGCTTCATGCACACACCCAACAGGCTCTGATGTCTGATTGTCTGCGGCCAGGGTCCATTTGAATAGGATGAAGAATAGGAATGGATAGAAATGGGAAAAGGATCTTTTTTTGCTGGGGGTGCTGGGGGGTTCAGGAATTCCTGTCATCCCCAGAAGATATCAAGGAAGGGATATTTATAATGTGCTGAATTCCAAGCCATTCGTCTCCATTTCTGGGCCAATTTCTGTAACTTTGAGTGATTAACATCTCCAGACCCAGGATTTGGCCCTTCAGTTATCCCCTAACAAGATGGCTCTCTGCCGGCAGGGAGAGGGCAAGTGATTCATCCCTCCTCATGCAACCCA